GAGAGAGAGAGAGAGACAGAGAGATGCACTATGAAAAGGAAATAACTTTTGTAGTAGCGTTTAGACTTACAGACATTTAACAGTGTAACTGATCTCAACCCATCTGCATATACTCTTCACTTTCTTTTCCTAAAATGTTTTTTAAGTGCCCCTATTAGGAATCAATACATACCTACTCTGAAATTCACACAGATACATGCTAAAAGCCAATCAGATTAAGAGTACACTTATCTTGATGAGCACGGACTAATACATGAAACTTCTGAGTCACTATACTCTATACCTGAAACTGATATAACGCTGTATATTAACTATACAGGAATAAAAATTTTTAAAAGCCAATCAGAAAGCAACAATAAAAACACACCTGGTAAACAACTAAGTTTTAATTCAAAGGATACTAAGCCATAAAGGGCCTAGAATGAACATCCCAATTAGCCAATGTAGTGACAAGCAGTCAACACCTTATTATTTAATCATTAAAGAGAATCTTGCCACAATTTCCCTTTACATATTTAAAAAAAAAAAAAGTGGAGGGGGGTAATTAAGAGTACAACATAAGACCCACAACAACAATCAAAGAGTAAAGTTAGATGAATCTAAGACCCCCATGGACGCAAGGCCTAGGGACTGAGAGTATCCAAGACAAAGGCATTAATTGGGACCCTCTGAAGTATTTACAATTTAAATAAGGTGTGTCCATGTGAAAGCATTTAGAAACAATCTACCTGGCAAAGGGACCATTTCCCCGTCTCTTGCTGTTTTTGGCCAGTTTTTTTATTGGATGAAAACAAATTGCCTGCATTTCTAGTATTAATAAATATCCAGTGGCCTCATCTATTTTTTTTTTTTCTAAAGCAGCAGATCCAATTCATCAAGGACATCAGGCTGTCCTTTGCCCTCTCGTCCCCATTTCTTACCAAAACACCTCTCCAAAAGAGAAAGCTTAAATCTCCCTTGGATGCATCCCTACCCCACTTGGCAGGGAGGGGGCGTTTTCAGTCAAGTCCAAGTTCAGTTTTAAGAATTTTTAACTCAAAGGATGCTTTAGAAACAACACCTCACATTTTTAAAATAAAGCAACCGCCACCAGGGTTTTCCTAGCCCACTTGGGAACCAAAGCTCACTGGCCCAAGGCTGCCCTGGATCCCCCAGGCCCCAGGCCTGGCGCTTTCCAGCCTGGGCCGCACAGCCCCAGAGGCCGATCCTCCTCCCCGGGGAGTTTTAGCAGCACTTGGCATTTAACCTGCCTGGCGTACGTGGCTTTCTGGTTCCATCTCCTTGAGCCACATTACTTCTCCCCAGATGTCAGGCACAAATCTGGATTAACATGCAACAGGGCGCCCTGTGCAGCCCGCCAGCCCTCACCCAAGAGCTGTTAAATGCAGATTCAGCTGAGGACCCCCCGGAGAGCTGCTGTTGAATAAAAATTGTAATCCAAAGGGACCATTTCTTTGCCTCCCGCTGCTTGTGGGAAACCCGGGCTGGCACCTGAGCACAGGCCCCGCTAGTCCGCGCTCCCTACGAGCAGACGTGGCCACCTCGGGAGGCGGCCTTGGGGGCCCGGAGGCTCTTCACTGCTCTCCCTCCACTCTCTGGACTGGTTCTTGGAGTGGAAACGCTTAGATTCAAGGAATGGCGAGCAACCGACCGCCCTGGGAAGGAAGACTTCATTCGACGGCTCCTTCTGGGAGCGAGACCTAAAGTCTAACGTCTGGGAGGCCAGGCTCTTCCCCGCCTAACCCGTCTTGACGGCCCCAGGTCCACCTGGAACCACCCCCCCCCCCCCCCCAAACAGGCGTCCTGCCGCCCAACGGGCCAGCTTTCTTCTCCCCTGACAACCAGGCTCAACCCTCGACTCCACGCCTCGCACCATCGTTTCCCCCTGCTCCCGCTCCCGCGGTGCAGTCCGGCACTGGCCGGGAGCCGAGGCCCAGAAGCCCCCGGCGCACCTCGCCTGTCCCCGGTCCCCGGACGTCGGGAGTGCCCGTGCCGAGCTGGGAGCGAGGCCGTCGGGAGAGGGCGCCCGGGAGGCCTGCTCCCGCCGGAGGTGACTCTCAGGCCTGGCTCCTCAGGGTCTGGGAGTGGAAGTGGGCGGGAAGGGGTTCGGGGAGAACATAGATGTAGGGGGTAAACGGGATCACGGCTTATACTTGCGTCTTAATCTGATAAAAATTAAAAAACAAAAACAAAAACAAAAACTACGAGGCCAAATGGATATCCGCCGATTTAGCCCTCCGGGAAACCAGTTGGTATCAAAGTCGTCGATCCCAGCTAGGTGCAGCCTTGGCGCCCTCCGAAGATAAAAGTAAAATAAAATAAACCGTGCCGCCAGCAGGCCCTAGAGACAGAGGGGTTAATGAGCTAACGAGGACCAGCGCTCGCACCACACCTGAAGCATCCAGTCCCGGAGCGCACCCTCTGCCGGGGCTCAAACTGGCTGGGCCACATTCGCAGACAGGTGGCGAGGCCGTCCTTTTTGGGCCCAGCCCCCAGGGCGCCGCACCAAGGGTCCAGCGCTCCCAGGGACCTGCAAACAGGCTTCAGTCGGAAGAACTGGCGCCCAGCGGGCGGCCCTAGTGCCTGGTCTCCGTCTCCCCACCTCCCAGAGCAGGGGACTCCTCTCCCGGGCCGAGGCTAGGTCCCGCGTGTGCCCTGCTCTGCGCTCCCAGCTCCCAGGAGACCCCAGGCACACTCGCTCCTGGCTCTCGGGAAGCGGACAATTAGGAAAAACAAAACTTGGGTTTACCGTCCTCCGCGACCAAGACCTAGGTGAGCTGGAGGGGTCACGCGAGTACGCCCACGCGCATTGGCCAACAGCGCCACGAGCCCAGTAAAAGCTGCGAAGCCCCCCAGTAAGTGGAGGGAGCTGGATTCACACTTCTCATTTTTTTAGGTGAGGGAGAATAAAATGCGAATTTTTATCCACTACAATTGCCTACCAATCTGTATATCTCAAATTAAGCTAATTGTGTATCAAAAGTTTGCCGAAGGAGTAGGGGGAAAACAATGATGTTGTACCATTTTTGTGTCCCCCTCCCCAATAAAAACCCATAGCTTTGGTCCTTTATCTTTGACTTTAATAAAATAATGATTCGTTGAGAAAATGGGGTATAAATCTTCATTTTGGAGGCAATTAAAGTGTTGATTTCATTCATGCCCCTAAGCGATTCTTGTAATTTGCTCAAATAGCTTTATGTACCCAGCACTCCGGAGCTCTTAGAATCCCATTTTCTAGTTAGGCTTGTTGGATTACAATTTTTATTCAACAGCAGCTACCCGAGGGTTCCTCAGCGGAATCTGCATTTAGCAGCTCCAGGGCGAGGGCTGGCAGGCTGAACCAGGCGGGAGGCCGGCAGCCTGCAGGGCCGGAGCGGGGGGCCGGGAGCCGCCTGCAGTTTTCCCACCTCGGCGGGCCGCACGGGGAATGCTCAGACTGCCTGTTCTGTGCACTCGTCTACACTGCCGAAAGTTTGCAACTTGCCAAATCACAGTAAAGAACCGGCGCTGGTGTTTTTAAAGCTCACCTCTGCCTACCCTCCACTGCTCTTGGGGAAAGGAGGAATTCGGCCTCTGTTGCGGCATTACCAAGAGAAATCCAAGCTGGGAATTTATGTTAAGAGGGTGATGTTGAGAGAAGAAAACTTTTAGGATGACACCAAGACCCAGGAGTCGGGCACTCCTGCAAGGACTCTACAAGATAGCGACTAGCCAACAGCGATCGTGGCAGAGCTTGCAAAGGAAAACTGCGTGACTGGCTATCCTTTCGCTTAACAAAGGCAGGCTGATCTCTCCCCCACAAGACAGAACTCACGTGCCAAGTCAGAAAGAGAAACAACTCTAGGCCTTCACTTCTGTATGGAGAGGCCAGAGGAGACCCGCAACCCCAATCTCTATTCACGTTTCAGCAATTCGCAGCAGAGAGCTGTCCTGAGCCCGGTTCATCTCACCCGCTCCTCAGGTTTTCACTTTCATTGCATTTTTGCAATTTCTTTGGGCCAATCCAGAGACGCAGCGACAGGAGAAAGAGAGAGAGAGAAAGAGAGAGAGAGAGAGACTGGGAGCAAACAGTGGTGTTAGGGTGAGAGAGGGAGAGAAATCCCCCAGCAACTCCAAATAAAAGTCGTCCCCACTTAGCAACGCGGCGGAAGAAGGGCCTGAAGGGAGCTCCGGAGAGGAGGGGGCAAACAAGCAAAGGCCCACAGCTGAGAGGGAGGGTGGCGCGAGGTCCCCCCCCCCCCACATCAGGAGTTGCAGGCTGTCTCTGACGCTGACACTTCCAAAAGCTGCCAACCCAGAGGGCCCAGTGCGCGTACCAGCTGGAGGATGAGTGGAAAGGAGGAGGAGAAACATCCATATTTATCTGTTTTTATAACCTCGGCCTGGTCTTATTTTTTCTATTAAGTACAATAAAATGGGCGAGCTTGCAGCGAGCACCGCACAAAGCAATGTTCAGTGAGGTCTAGAAGCGCTCGGCCGAGGAAAACTGACAAGACAGGCTAATGAACCGTATAGACAGGGAGAAAATAGCCAGCATTTGCTAGATTTCAAACCCTCGCTGTCTCTCTTAGACCACCTATCTTGGGTTTATTCCTAATAAAATAAGAAATAAGCAGACCCTACACTTTTCTTTTCTTCGAAATAGAAGGGGGAAAAAATGCTCCAGAACAAAGCCCTACAATCAGAGGCGGTCACTGGCAGTTAACACTCCCATTATTATAGAGGGTAAATAAAATAAAGACAAAAATTAAAAGCGACAAGAAACAGGTCAAGTTTGCAGGCAAAGCTTTTACAAGCTCATCTCTCCAGGTCGAATCCCAGAGCCAGCCTTAATGAAGCAATAATAGCCACATTATTCAAAAATTTTCATTTCGATGGAAATGTATCTAAAAGGGACTTAATCATATGCAAATAATAAAAAGAGGTGGTAGTGACCCAGCAAGCAATATGCATACAGATTTTTTTTTTTCCTAGGGATGTTGAAATTGAAAAGCGCATACCTGGTCGGTTAGATTTGCTGATCTTGTTATATCTTCACTGTCTGATTTTGATCCTCCTTCTCTATCGTCTATCACCAAATCGATAGGCATTTTCCCTTTCAAACAGCTAATATACCGGTGGCAGAAATTGTCACATAATTCGTGTACCTACATTATGACAGAAATAAAAAAATGGAAATATAATCAGGAGTGCATAAATGACATTGACAAGTGCAAACCACCCCCCTTGTGAGATCCAAACTTCCAAATAGGGAAACACAGAGCAATTGTCCTCCAGAGACCCCCAGACGCATCCAGAATTAGGAATAACTTTCTTTTCTTGCAAAATAGAGATATCCCAGAAAATTGACAGTGACAAGATGATTCACAGGCTACAACATATTCAACACCCGTGTTAAATTCATCTGCTCCCAGGGCTGTGGCCATTAGAGAGGTGACCTGCGTGGGTGACATTTAAGGTAAACTATTTAATTTCATCCACTTACTTTATCATAAGTCCTTTTCCAATGAGTCTAAGGGAAAATGTGAATATATGTATATATATAGATCTCTCTCTCTCTCTCTCTCTCTCTATATATATATATATACACACACACACACCTCCAAAGGACCAGAACTGTGGTGGCATAGGACATATGTCTGACAGCCCAAGTCCTTATAACATTTGTGATTAGGGATTCTTCCCATAAGAAGCATATTTTAGGATACTTTCAAAAAATAGAAGAAAATCAAATTGCCAGTACTCATGATATGAAAAACACCTACAGCCACAAAAAAAAGTATCAAATTGATTTTTTTAAAAAAGGGAAAAGAAAGCTTCAAAATATTTAGGTTTAAGTGGAGTGGTCTCTTACAGGCCTCAGGCATCACTGACATGCACAAACTCACAAGAAACCCCAGTGTGCTTGCAATTTAATGTTAGTTTGAATTACAATGCATTAAGTTTTTATTGCTGAGATTTATAGAACAGCTAGCAAAATCATGTTATCCCACACCCTTTCTTGAGTGTGAAGGTGGGGTGTGTGCAGGATTCACAGATTCAAGAAATTGACACAACTATCAACTCTGCTTTGTCTCTGCACAAGGTTTAATGTGCCTCCCCCACCACCTCCTCCAGACTCCCTGACCACTCCTCCTCCTCCTCCCTGCGCCTCTCCTCTGTGTCTGACCTGCCGCTGCTCTCAGACTGTCTTCCAGAAACTCACCAAAACTAAACAAAACTCCCTCACCCACCCACCCAGAGGTAGCAAAGAAAAGGGGGGAAGAGGAAGAGAAGAGATCACAAAAGTATATAACCTGTAAAGCAAACTCACAACAGCATTCTAAACATCAAGAGAGATGCATAGAATTGCAACTATTTATACAAAGCCAGCAAAGTATTAAGAATGAATACAAGGCTGGGGCATTTGAGATGCCGGGTTTAGTGGCTGAAATTGTAATTAAACTGCAAAGAGAAATGGACGCTAAGATTGGCCTTGACACTAATTACCAGAAAGAAAGACATTTATGCAAATGTCTCAGAAGCCTGAACTTCAGCCATTCAGAACCCTCCCCCCACCCCACCCCGCCCCACCCCCTCAAGTTTGGGGGTGAGGAGAAAGCAAAAGGAAAAGAGGCTAGAGAAATTACCTTCTCTAATTCCAACAGATGAAACCTTAATACTTGTATGGCTTGAATCATCTGCAAAGATACAAAAAGAATGAGCACCCTATTCCTAGTTTGCAGAAAATTGGCTGTCACAGCTCTACCATCTCCAGCCTATCCCCCCCCCCAAGTAAATAGAGTTATTTTGATTTATGGCAATAACACTAAAACTTAATAGCAGCGACTGGGTACCATCTAGAGGTTTATATTTCTTAAGGAGAAAAAAAATAGCTAAAACAACAACAAAGCATCTAAGTGGGGATCATAAACACTCTCCTCTCCCATGGCTCTTCCCCTTCTCAGCCCCACTGCCCCCACCCCACCTGAAAGGGCCACATCCCTGGACTAGATGTTTCCTTGTAAGGAATGCACCGAAAATATTCCAAATAGTCCCCAACGTGTGGCTTTTCACACTGCAAACTTTCTGCCGCTTTCCGTACACCTTTCAGGCATACTGGTGCTTTGGGGGCTCTTGCCCCGTTGCTGCCCTCGTGACGCGACTTTGAGGGCTGGGAAGTCCGCAAAGTTTAAGCACACACGCTGACAGGCCCGGAGATAAATCCCCGCGCTGATTAGAGCTGCGCTGCCCGGCTGTCATAAAAAACAAAAGCTCGCGTTTCCCCGCGCCGGCTTGCCCGGCCCCTCTCGAGATGAATTTATTTCCCCGGGATCTTGTCCCGGACCACTTGTCCGTGGACGGAAGCGTCTGCAGCCGCCTGGCAGCTACGGGAAGACCCGTCTCGAAACCTTGGGGCGCTTCAAGCAAGGCTGGGGGCTTGGGGGGGGGGGGTGTTGGGGGGGGGGAGGAAGGGGTCCACTCTTACCAAGTTATCCAGTTCTGGATTAGAAGAAAATAGAGGTTTTTCTGCGCGAATCTAAATACAAGTGAGAAGGAGGGGGTGGGGGAGGGAAGAAAGAACATTTGAAATCTGGTCACCTTCCTAGTCTCTTGCCTCATTACACTGTCGGGGGCAAAGATGTAACCTCCGGGAAGGACTGGGTGACACCGAGTTCGTCCCGCGCAGAAACCCTTCAGTGTGAATCAAATAAGCCAAAAACAAGCCCAGAGCTCAGGGTTACTTGGTTACTTCTACCAGAAACTCTGCTTCTAGAGGACGCTGCCCGCTCTCCAAGACCAAGGCAGCTACAGCGCGTTGTGATTTTATTTTATAGGGTGAGCTTTCTGCGTCAGGTCACGAAGCGGGAGCTGGGCAGACTATGGGTGATTTTAAGTCGTCCGCAGACACTCATATAGGAGGATAATCTCAGGGTAGAAGTCTCAGGCATGGCTTAGGGCGGACTATTTGCTGGTTACTTTTGAAAATGTGCTGGGTGGGGGAGGGAGTTTCTTTCTTTTTTTCTTTTTTCTTTACTTTTTAAACATATATTTTTGCTGACCTGTTTGGCGAACACGGCTATATCTTCATTGAATGACTCTGACGAGCAGACGTCCCCTCCCGCCACCCCCGGCTCGCGGGGGGTACAAGTAGCTAATTCACATTTCTCAAAAATCAGTGCTAAGAGAGGGAAGAGGGGGTGTCTGCAAGAAAATACAACAGTCACAAACAACACAATGGTTAGTCCCGAGTCAGTGAAAAAAGGCCCCCAAGAAAAACAGCCAGAGGAGCTCGAGCCGGGGATCCCCTGATTTTGTCATCTACTCCCCCCCCCCCACCAGGTGACTGCTCACCTCCCCTTCCTCCAAGGGCTCCGAAGTCGGAGGCCCTTATCCAAAGACAGTATCTGAGGATCGGTTCAGCATATCTGGCCGGAGAAATTGGTAACATTTGCTAAGAATAAAACCCAAGCGGTTCCAGCAGCCATTTTGAATTAAGTTTCCCACCCCGACTAGCCCTCGTCCCTCCGCGGCACATCTAGGACCTGGTGGAGAAGAAAGGCGGTGGGCGCGGCGGTTGGGAAGGCTTGTTCAAGTGTGTTCCCCCAAGGCAGCCTCGCGAAGCCCAAGGCTCGGGGGATCTTGGTGGCAGGCGCTCAGCTAACTTGGGGAAAGGACCTCTCTGGCTGCAGGACCGACTGACAGAGGGCTGCACGTACCGATCTCGACCCCCACGGCCCTCGGAGAGCAGCAAGGCCCCTCCTCAGCTCCCTGAGCACTTCCCTCCCTTAGCCAATGGCCCCCACTGCCCCCAAAAGAAAGTTCCTTCAAATGCTCCTGCGGTAAAGCCTTTCATTTTTGTCTCTGCGGAATGGCTAAGCAGCTAGTATGGTGAGGGGCCTAGATGTCGCTTATCTCAACCCATTAAAAAAAACGCTTCTACTAATGCTCAAGGAGGTGTCTCAAATCTTTTATTGGCTCTCACAGCCCAGCCGGGAATTTAACAGTTTGGGGTCCTTTTCAAAGCTTCCCCAAATGTTCTGTCCCGGCGCCTAAACCATTTGCAGTTAACGCTAAGGAGAGAACGCTGGGATTTCAACAAGCCCATTGCACAAGGGACCAGAAGATAAAGCAGAAAGGGTTTTCAGCTGGGGAGGGTCAGTGTTGCCTGATTTTTTCTTTTCCAAAAGAAGAAATAAATAGAAATAAAAGTTGCTGCAAAGTAAAACGAGGTCCCCAAATTCATGAGCACACAGTAGGCACAAGCGACTTTCAAGGGATTTTACCAGCCCTGGGTCCAATCGACTGGCCTGAGAGAACACGGTGTAAACCACAGTCTGAAAACAACACTGGCCTGAGAGCACCCCCACACCTACTTCCAAATGCTGCAGGTTTCGCCTTTGAACACAAAGTGCTAAAACAGCTAGAAGTTTCTTAATGTCTAGAACAATTCAGAGCGAGCTCTCTCCTTGCCGACGGTGGTCAAACTCCCTAAATGCAAAGCATGTTCCCCCTTGCCTGACCTGCAACTGTCCTCCCTTGATTTTATTGTGCGGCGGCCCAGCCAGCATACGGTTGCTGAGTAAACTTAGCAAGTCAGAACAATCAGTGGCTTAAAAGATTTTCCCTTAAACTAAAAGTTTCGTTCCAACACAAAGGCGCCTACATTTAGAAATCCCCAAGGCTCTCCCAGCGAAGTCGAGCAAGAGAGGACTCCAACCCGCTGAGCTACCGAGCCAGGGTCTGAGAGGAGATGAGGGACCTTTGGCAACTTCTCCTGCAGGGCGACCCCCCTCGCTGGCACAGCCTTGGCAGAGCCGGGTGCTGGGCAAGCGCTGACCATGTGAGGAGATGGGGGGCGTCCGGGATGGCAGGCCGTGCCCCCCCCAACAAATTCTCCATGCAATGCAAATGAAAAGTTACCAAATAGTGTACCTCCAATCCATAGAGCTTTCCTTTTACCGAGGGCACAGGGAAATAGAGGAAACGTCACGTCTCTACTACTTAACCTGCTGCCCATTGTACCTACCCATAAATGGCATCTTTATCTCTCTTTAAAGCGTCATTGACGGAGGAACCCATGCTGGGGGCCATGGCGTTGGTGTGAGCTGTGTGCGGGTATTGATGCGAGTGCAGAGGAGGCCCGTGGTTCAGGTGGTGGACCGGCTGCATGGACCTGGCCGCATGCGGGTCCCCATACATCGTGGAGGGGATGCCTACTCCATCCATGCCCCCATAATGGGGTAGATCGTCGTACTGCATGACAAACAGGAGAAAACAAGGTTCAGAAGGCCAGGCGGGCAAATGGGGAGACAGCAGGGCACGGAGCTTATATAATGTCAGTCCAGCTCGATCCTTCAACCCGGAATTCAGTGGCCTTGCATCTCTAAAGTTGAGATTTTTTATTTTAAAAATGATTTCTACAGTAAAAATTCTAGGATTCTCTCTGAGACTCGGCTGGGATGAACGGTCTTGCCCTAACTTGTGTCCCTATCAACTAGTTCAGAAATTCAGGATCCTTTGGCAAGGAAGGAAGGAAGAAAGAAGGAAAGAAAGGGAGGCATTCTCCCGGAGGGCGGAAGGTAAAACGTGCACTTCTCTAGAGGAGGAAATTCAAAATCACAATAATAAAACGTGCCAGGACAGTGCAGCAAGCCTGCCTAGTTTCACAGCCCCTTCCCATCAGGGGGAATTAAAAAAAAAAAAAAAAAAAAAGTTACGATGGGAACAGCTAAGCTAAGCACATGAATTCAGACAGGCTTCTCATTTTATTTCTCTGCCAGCGTGGGGTTAGGCAGTCCTGCAAGACACTGCATTTCCTTTGCTTTCCAAGACAAACTCTGTTAAATTATACAAAACCAACTGGCTTCTTTATAAGTGAAACTTAGAGAACGTAGCTTTTCATGTTCATTAGAGCTGAATTTAGAATGGGCAATTTCCCCTCGAAGTTAAAGAAAACCTATAGTTCAAACAGCTAAATATTGTATTTTCTTTACTCTTATGAACTTTCCCCCCAGACTAGAAGTTAGTGAGACAAATGTAACTCATCAGGTGTAAAGTAAATTCAAAAGCAAATGCATACACAACCCCCATATTCTCTCTTCAGAAAAACTACTTTCATATTGATTGTCATTATTCTTGTGTGCAAAATTTAGCTATTTAGGATTTTCTCCTTGCTTCATTCCCGGCAAGTTCTTTTCCCAAGATTTGGAGGCGCCGAGAGTCAAATGATTTTCAAAGAAAAGAGGAATTGCCACTTTCATCTCCTTAAAGATAGAGGTGTGAAAATAGTTTGGAAGAACGCTGACATTTGCCTGAACCAAAGCAGTAAAGAAAAATGTGTCAGCCTAGTAACTTTCTTTTGCAAACAGGGCTTTGAGGGCCAGGACAGAAATTATGCAAGGAAGGCTTTTTGTAGACTCCCCTTTCTTTTAAGAAACTACCTCAGTTGGGTTGTCATTGTCTCACTTTACTCTCACTACATTTCCATTCAAATAGGAATATTGGGGAAATTAGTATTGCATTTTTAAAGTGAGTAGCTGTGTGCTTAGTATCCAATTAGTGGAGGGCTTTTCTAACAAAAACTTTCGAAGTATTACCTTTTATAAAAATCCATGCACATTAAAATCACTTTTAAAAGATGAATGTTTTCCGACCCCCAAAGCCATTGTACTATGACAAAGTCATTTGCTTAAAAAAAGCTAAATACTTCTAATGATATTAAAAGATGAGCACAATCAATAACGCATCAGAAGTTTCTAGCTGCTTCATTTCCTTTAAAAATAGCTTTAAACTTATGCTCCCTGAACACTCACATTATAGCATTAGATATCTAGTGCTTTTTGTTTTTGTTTTTTAAACAGATGATTGCCCAAGCTTGTATTTTTATTTATATAGCTGCTGGTTAGGAATCTATAGAAAACTTGATTACTTGAATTAATTACATGTAACATACGTAAGTCTACAAATGCACTGAATAAATTCTCTCCCTTTAGGCCACGGCTTTAGGAGCCTCATTCAAAAAGACAGAGAAAAAAAAGGAAACTTTTTAGCAGTGTCTTTCAGCCACGTTTCAATTTAATCTCACATTTGAGTTTCACAATTGTTTTTTAATACGTACCCTTTGCGCCATCGGCCTCCCTGGCTCCCTTCCTACTTCAACTTCTAATATATCCTCTTTAAGGCCAGTGTGAAAAGAAACAAATAAGCAAACTCCCCCGGAAAAAAAATTTTTTTAAAGCACGACGAAAAATCCCTTAACGTCTCCAGCAACGTGAGCTACTGGTCCCAGATCTTCGGTCTACGGGACCTGAAGCAAAGCGCCCGAGTCACTGAGCATAAAAGCGCTCCGTTTCCAAGACAGCAGCGGGGGCAAAAAAAAGCAGATCTTCTCTCCCCCAAAAAAAATCAGTTTAAAAAAAAAAAAAAAAAAGAGCGCCCCTCAGACCCAACTACCAAATCTCATGGCTTTCTGCCACTCCGGCTGTCAATCACAGGCGAGGTTGTCAACGTGGTGAATGAATGATCATCCGCTCTGTCTTCTTCTGGTCAGAACACCTCAAATGTTAATATTCAAATGCACAAAGCCCTAGCGCTCGCTTCCCTTGAATCAGTCCTAATTCCTAATCAGTTTCTCTCTTCTCTCGCTCGCTCTTTCTCTTTCTCTCTCTCTCCCTCTTTGCAACTGCTGCACTGGAGGGAGATTAGAGGAGGAGGGTTAAAAAAAATGTCTGTCTGAGTTTGTCTTAAAGGAGCCACGATCGATGCTGCCCGCTTGCAGTCCCCGTGCGTGTGTAAAGTGTGTGTTGCACAGGCGGAGAGGTGGATTCCGACCAGAATGCTAGAACCCGGAAGTAGTGGTGGCCATAACAGGTCGCGTCTTACACAATGCATTGGGCTGCAGCAAGTAGGCTCCTCGGCAGGGGTGGGTGCGCGAAGCGAGCTCTGGCCGCACTGGAGAGGCAGAGAGGCGCTCCATTAAATCGCACGCCCAGGCACAAACACCCACACACCCAGGGCACACGCGCACAAACGCGGGCAGGAACCCCCGGCTGCAGGCTTTATTTTCCGTAGTCTTTTCTCCCCCCACCCCCCTTCCAGACACTCTCCCCAAAGCCGACTCTCTTGAAATAAATTGGGAATAAACGCGGGGCAGGCAGCAGTGGGAGTTATTTTGCACAGGGCTCTGCGCATAGACTTCATGACTTTCCTCGAAATTATTGGGGTCTGCCAGTATTTTTCGGGGCCAAGGGGACTAATGCGGAAAGTATTGGATTCTCACAACTGACCACCCCAAGTAGGAAAGTCAAACGGGGAGAGAAGATGAGCAGGAGCAAGGCTGGGAAAGGCTCTGCTCAGGAGTCCCGAGAACGTGGGGGTGGTGAAGGCTGGGGCTTTCTGCAGATCCAGCTTAGAGTTGCTGTCAGAGGTGGACACCCGGCCCAAGGAAAGGAAATGCTTGCATTTTCTCACTTTGGGGTCTGGACCTCCCCCACCTCCTAGTCCCGGAGGCCCCAGCCCCAGCCCCGGCGTCCTGCGCGAAGTGGGAGAGGAAGGGAGGGAACAATGAGCTGAGAGCGGGGAATGTGCCCCCAGCGCCTGTTTACAAACACGAAGCTATTTATGATCGCAGGAAAGCGAAACCCGACGCGGGCTCGGAGCAGCGGGTGGAGCCCGGGCCGGAGAGACTCAGGGCAGCAGGCTCTTTCTCTGACCCGCTCCGAGCGAGGAAGCCGTGCGCCCAGGGCGCGGCGCGGCAGGGTCGGCGCGCTGGGTTCGGGCTACCGCCGCGCAGCCTTTGTCTTCCAAGCGCCTAGGGGCTCTGGCCTCGGCCGTGCTGGGGCCTGGAGGGACCCCGCGCCCCAAGCTCTCTCCCCCGCGACGCTCAGCGCTCTTCTCCCCAGCCCTTCTTCCTCCCACTCCTCTTTCCTGCCCCCATCCCGGCTCAGGGAAAACTCCCAGTACCAAAGAAAAAGAAATTCACTTCGGGAGCTGAGATTTTCAGACAAAAACCTGTCCCAACCCGCAACTCGGAGGGTCAAACCAGCCACTGATTTTAACTTTCTCCCTTTCAATACCTATTTTCTGGCTTCACAACAACAAAATTCTCTCTTTATTCTCCTACTCTGAGCTTGCCTTTTATTATTATACTTGGCGGTGTTATTTTCGTTTCTTATTTTTCTGCCCGCCCGGCTCTGATACGCCTAGATAGCTCGGCCACAGCAGCTCGACCAGCGGGCTGGAAACCTCACATCCTCGAGCAAGGCTCGCAGCTCGCTCGGCTCGGAGCAGGATTTTTTTTTCCTCCCTCCAGCTGAAACCTCACGGAAAACTCCCCCTGCGGTCGACTGGAAAATGAGCTCACCCAAATCTCGGTAGGCAGCCGTGGAGGAGGGCTCGGCCAATCAGGAGGCGCTTCTGCCAAAGCGGCCGCGCATTGGCTGCGGGGAAAATCAATTATCAAATAATCGATCAGCAGGGAGCTTCGATCTGCCGGGAATGCAAACTGCCAGTCCCCATTCCCGCCCTGATGGTGGCCAAAAGGCTGACTCCCCCCAAAGCAGTCGGCCTCTCGCTCCCATCGCCCCCACCCCCATCCCACTCCGCCAGCTGCGAACCGAACCCTCGTCCTAAAGGGGGGCTGTAGATAGGAGAAAGAGTTTTGAGAAAGATTAGAGTGCTCCTATCCGCAGAGGTTGTTTGGAAAAGGTTAGGAGCTCTCAAATATATTGAGGCTAACTCTTAATGTACAAACTAAAAGAATTTGCATCAGTCCGAGAGGTAGGACTCAAGTTTCTGTTAAGTGGGCTTTCGAAGAGCAAGGGACACAGGGCGAGCATCAGAACCTATATCTGGAATCAGGTTCCCTCCAGCGCGCATAGTCTCCCTAAGCGTTGTCTATTCCTTTAGTACTTCGTACGAGTCAACGCCCAGTTCTCCCCACCCCCCTATAGTGGGATTTTCATAAAGCCGAGCTGCTGAGTCTCTTCCCAGCCTCCCGCACACACACCACCCTCGCCCAGACACCGTACTCGCCCCATCTGTGGCTAAAGAACTGACATGTTCATCCAAAGCCTTCAGATGCGCTTTGCCTTGAAAGAGCTCCGACTGTTTAAAAAAATCCTAGGATCCTCATCGTTTGCATTTCTCTTCTCTCTTCCTTTCTCTCTTTCTCTCTCTAATCACCGTGCCCACCCTTTTCAGGATATTTAACTTTTCTCCATCGCAAACATGTGGTTTTGGGATACAGACGCCCCGGTGTATCACGCGGGAGGTTAAGGCAGGCCCGCATGTCAAAGCCGAGGGTGAATCCAGGTGAATTACCAGCTTCTACGCCATTGCCTGACACTCCCACCCCCACCCCACCCCAGCCGCCCCAACGTGAACTTGGAAACAGAACTTCAGGCCAAGATGGAACCTACGCTCTCCGGAAGGCGATTTCTCTGTTTAATTCTCGGGAAACCGCGTTGGCTGGGCCAGGCAACGCAATCCTTTCCGATTACCAGGAGGACCAAACTGGGCCGGCAGCCTGCAAGTCTTCCCCGAACCCCAGGCAGCTTCGGCCCTCACCTGAGCGCCTTCCGACAGCTGCACGCGGTGGGTGTGGGCACTGCAGGTCCAGCAGGCCCGCCAGGCTTCAGAGCGGCTGGCTGGAGGGGGGAATGCAAAAGGGGAGGAGGGGGGAGGTCGAGGCAAACATCCACACGGGCACATCTACATTTATGATCCTTAAATGAACTGCGAGGGAAATTGTGTTAGTATAATTTAACTGAGAGAAATTTACTGCGAAATACACTTCGATGATCATAGTCTTTAAGAGTCCTTAGGGGTTCTCCAGGAAAGGCTTAGGTAACCAGCTTGGAGTTACCTCAACTCTGAGGCCTTGTTTTCAAATTTGGAAAAGGCCAGTTTTGATGAAGATTTCTTTGACAATAGAATTTATCTTGTATTGTTGCCTTTGGGAAAATTTGTTTTCTAGCAGAGATGAAAAAAGAAGTTTTAGGCAAGTCACTCCTTTTCAGACATAACCCAAAACTTCAAAGCAGTGGGAAAACTATTGTGTGCTTCAACCATGATGTGTCAGATTACCTTAAAAATACTTTAAATTACCCACACACAGGTTTTCCTTAAAGAAAGGGATAGTTTGAGTTTGTGGGCTTAAATAAACTCTTATTAGTTTTGAAAAGTGTCTTCTTTCTTCCCTACCCCCCTTTTCTATTTATAACTGTGAGCCTAATGCTACTCCTAGGTCTTTATAAGATTAATTCTGAACAATCAAGGGACTAAAACACTTTTACAATGTAATTACAGTAGTACAAATTGTTTGCCCAAACCTCATTCTGGATAAGGATTTTACAATTAGCAAACAGTTATTACAGTTGGGGCTTGCTGAGAGAAATTGCACAGAGGAAGTCTAGAGTTGTAATATAGTAGCCATAAAAAAAAAAAAACCCTCCCTTGGTATGGCAGCAATTAATCATCTATTAAAAGGAAAAGGTAAAGGAATAGCTATAGGTATCTTAGTGAACTACTACTGATAATTATACTTGTTCTGTGTGTGACAACACCTATCCCTGACTTATTTCAGATGCTTGCTTTTTGAGGCAATAGCACTTTTGTTTTGCAAAAACTTGGCCTGCTGAAGGGTTCTGGCACTTGCCCTTAGCTCTTGCATCATGCACCTTCCATACTCAGCTTACACTAAACATCCCAGAGCATCTTCCCAAAGATAGAGAGCAAAGACTTGAAAGGGGCAGGCTGAGGCCTAGGTCTCTATTGTTTAGACCTTCCTTGCAAGAAGGCATTGAAAGCAAGTGGTGCCCCTTTAGGCTGTTGGTACAGTCCTTTCTGAGCACTCCCTTCTAATTTTCTGTCCTTCTATAAGGAATGGTGTCTCTGGAAAGACATATATCCTGAATTAGGCTTTTGTCCCCAGAGTTCACACTGATGAGTCAGCTCCCAAACCTTCAGAAATTAAAGAGGCTCCTGTTAAGGTAAAATGTGTGTGTATTTGCCAGCCCAGAATAAACAAAAGCCTGTTAATCAATCGAGTTTGGCAGCTGTGTTCACAGAATGATAAGGGTTTATCATCTGCCACCTAACTCTAAGATGCCTGTTAAAACGTTGTGATTGCTCTTTCGGTCGTCCCACGGTGTGGAGGCTTGGGATTTGTGCTTCGAGAACATTCAGCATCTGCATCTCACCCCCCACTCTCCACATTAGCATTTGCATTTCAAAAAACAGAAATAAGAAGAGGGAAAGACAGTTTGAAGAAAATGGATTTAAAATCTAGTAGAGATAATAGAGGAATGCTTGAGATAAGAGCCTGGGTGTGATACGAGAGAGGTACCAAGAAGTCAAAACTGATGAATAGCTGTGAGAAAAGTGAAATAAACTCTTCAGAGGAAACCTGGTTAGGTGATGTGAAA